TTCAAAGAGGACACGCAAACAAATGGAAGACATACCATTGCTCATGGATATGGAAGAATCATATCTCTGTGAATAATGGCATACTGGCCCAAGGTAATTCTTATATGGATTCAATGCCATCCCCCATCTGCAAGCTACAATGTAGTTTCTTTCACACGCACATTCGCGCACAAAATACTGCTTTAAAGTTCATATTGGCACCAAAAATAGAGCCCGCATCCTCCAAGACACATCCTACACGTCCAAGAAATGAACAACAGCTGAGGGCATCCACCGCTATCCCTGACTGTCCAAACTATATCTACCAAGGCTTATCTGCTCTCTACAAGGCTACCGTAAACCAAATATGTAACTCAAACATGCATGATTACTGGTACCTAAAACAGTAGATATATGATCAACCTGGAACAGACACAGTAGTCTCAGAAATAATACCAACATCATCCTACAGACATTCTGCATCTTGGACAACAACTGAGAGAATACAAGAAGATGGGTGATAAGGATTCCCTACTTTATATAAAGTGTGGTGCGTTTGGGGAAAGATTCGGCTAGCATAGTAAAAGCTCAAACTGTGATCCTTCCTTACTCTTATACCGAAAATTAATTCAGAGATGGACTTAGAGACTTATAATGTTAGACCCAATACCATAACAAACCTAGGGAAAATCTAGGTAGTCCATTCGGACATAGGCACGGGCCAAGACTTCACGTCTAAAACAACCACAAGCCAACGGCAAGCAAAAGCCAATAAATTGACAATGGATCTCATTAAACTAAGAGAGCCCTTCTGCAACAGCAAAAGAAACTACCATCCTAGGGTGAATCACGGTAACTACCAGAACTGGGAGAACAATTTTTCATCTACTCATCTGACAAAGGCTAATATCCCACAACCCTACAAACGAACTCAAACAAATTTACAAGAACAAAAACAAACAACCCATAACAAAGTGGGCAAAAGGATATGACAGACCATTTCTCAAACCAGAGACATTGCATATCGCCACACACACATGAAAATATGCTCTCATCACTCGGCATTAAGAGAATGGCAATATCAAAACCACAATCGAGATACTCATCCTCACACCAGCTTGACTGTGCAATCATTAATAAAGTCAGGAAACAATCAGGTGCTGAGAGGATTGTGCGAAATAGGAACACTTTGTTACACTGTTTGTGCGGATTGTAAATCTAGTTCAACATTATTGGAAAAACACGTTCGGCGATTCCTCAAGGATCTAGAACTCGTTACCACTATGGACCTCAGCCATCATTACTCGGGATATACCCACAAGATTATAAATCATTGCCTGCTATAACGACACATGCACACGTATGTTCACTGAGCACTTTCTCACAATAGCAACCAGACTTTGGTACATCAACCCAAGTTGCCATCAGTGACAAGACGGGATTAATGAAAATCGTGGCACAATATACCCATCCGGAATACTATGCAGCCATAAAAACAGGATGAGTTTGTGTCCTTTTGGCAGGGACATGGATGCAGCTGGAAACCCAATCATGTCTTTACAACTATTCACAAGAATCACGAAAACAAACACGCCTGTCTCTCACCTCATAGGTGGGAACTTAACAATGAGATCACTTTGACTTCGGAGAAGGGGAACACTCACACACGGGCTATCATAGGCCAGGCGCGGGAGGGGGGAGGGATTGCATTGGGAGTTATACCTGATGTAAATGATGAGTTGTTGGGTGCTGACGAGTTGATGGGTGCAGCACAGCAACATGGCATAAGTGTACATATGTAACAAACCTGTACGTTATGCACATGTACCCTAGAACTTAAAGTATAATAATAATAAAAATAAAATAAAATAAAATAAAATCCAAAAAAAAAAGAAAAATAATATAAGTATGTGTAAAACTCTTCTTTGAGTAAGTATCATACACATAGCTAAATTTTGTATTTTCTATTCATTGCTGTATAAATAAATTAACATTGCCTTCTGTGTGGACATCTGATTATGTGATTCCACACTTAAAATTGTAAATACTTTGCTCTTTCTAAATGAAAATAGCCCATTCATTACTTTTCATCTAACCATTCAGTTATTATAGAGCCAGTTTTATTTCTGTCAGAAAATGCACTTTGTAAATCTTATGTTTTATTACATAGCCATTGTATACCAACATATAAAATACATACATACATACACACATACATTAGGGCATTTTTTTCTTCAAAGTGAAAGCTTTCTACCTAAAAATGAGCCAAATCTTCAACATTTTTATGCAAAACAATGTACCTCTACATTAAGGGAGGAGGAAATGAGGGACACCAGTTTTATAATCTTATAATACCTTATATTCCATCATAATTTTTTTTTTTTTTTTTTTTTTTTTTTTTTAGATGAAGTCTCACTCTGTCACCCAGGCTGAGGTACAGTGGTATAATCTTGGTTCATTGCAACCTCTGCCTCCTGGGTTCAAGCAATTCTTCCTGCCTCAGCTTCCTGAGCAGCTGGGATTACAGGCACACACCACCACACCTGGCTAAGTTTTGTATTTTTAGTAGAGACAGGGTTTCGCCATGTTGGCCACTCTGGTCTCAAACTCCTGACCTCAGGTGATCCAGTGGCCTTGGCCTCCCAAAGTGCTGGGATTACAGAGCCACCGTGCCCAGTCTCCAAAATATTTAAGCAATATTATTGTATTTTACAATGTTAGTAATGCAAGGAACCAAAATGAAACACAGAATAATTGAGATAGAGAAGACTTTACACATCAATTTGAAAATAAACATATAGCAAAGCTCTATATTCTCAAATTTCATGGGATGTAATAAATCTACATTTTGATTTTGATATATAGCTATGTTTTATTAAATGATTTCTCAGAGTATAACCTACCACCTGCAACGCTAAGAAAATTAGGGATGCTTCTCCTGTCTCGATCAGAGTGCACTTTGATCCATTTCTACTAACCTGGAACTATGCGTGCACTGGAAGATACAGACTAATGAACGCATCTCTAGTCCCTTTGTCCTCTAACAAATACAGTGCTACACAATTTTCAAATATTCTCCATTCTATTTCAACTCCCTTTCTAAATAAACAATTTTATGCATCATAAATTTTATAAATAGTCCTGATTCTAAGACCTTTGATTGTTAGCATGTTAATATTAACCTCGATGGGGCAGACTAGTTCCAACATAAATCCATAACATCCATTCTCCAAAGGATCCTGGGCCCTGACCAATACTTCTGCATCCTACTGATTATGCCACTCTTCTGCTCTCACAGTCTTTCAAATCTTTCCTCTCCTCAAATGTCTCACCTGTCTCAACTTCCTACCCCTTACTCTCTTTAGATGACGTCACTGCAGTGTTTATAGGCAAAAGCTGAAGAGTTCTGACGAGCATCTCCTTGTTTTCATTATACTAAAAAGGCAAAAGTTATCTACCCATGTTTTCCTCTTCCATGTTATTGAAAGGGATGGCTAATTTCTCTATTTGTGCTAAGGATCTCATACACACTTGTACTGAAACTTTACATAAATGTAACATAGGGATTTCATCCTCACAGGAGAGTCTAGCTCCAGGAAGCATCAAATTAAGGTTATGCTCTTGAGGAACAAAGCATATTTTAATTGACTCTTTAGAATTAGTTTAAAAATACTCTAGGGAAGATGCCTAATAAATATGTTGTAAATCTTGCTACCTTGTTTTCATAAGATATGGTCTGTTAACATTAACAGGTAGGTCATTTTTTACATTTGTTCACTAAAAATACAACGTGTGTGTGTAGAGATAAGTATTCCATCAATGGGGAAAACAAGTATTTTTTCCAATTTCGCTTGACTTTTCTATCCATGTTAGAATTGCATTGATTCTCTCAAATAAATTGTATGCAAGCTCTTCTGATGTGTATGTGAGAACTAAATAAACAATGGCTTTAAGGTGCAGTTTTTGGAGTTGAAATTTTTACAATCCTATGTTACTTTCAAAGAGAACTGAGAGAGAGTGGCTCGAGTTGGAAGTTAAGACCGCTTTTATACATTATCTGTGCATACCTAAACAATATTATCATGAGTGGGTTAGTGGTACAAAAATGGGAACCAAAAAAATATCCACACTTTTCCCAAACAGTAGAGTTGTATATCTATGCTTCAAATGCTGCATTCTTAGGAAGATCTTCTCTGAATGGTCATCCAAAAGCATCCCACGTTCATTTTTTCTTCACATAAAATGGTATTGCCTGAAATTATATGTACCTTTTCCTGTGTGTTTAATATCTGCTCCCTCTATTATAATGTGTACTCCATGAGCTGAAATACTTATTTACTGTAGTAACCCAAGGGACTGGAACAGAAATTAAGTAAACAGGCAGCTGACATTACAAAGTGGAAAAATCAAGTCTTCTTTTTGTACCCTCTTAGCCATGTATCAGATAGCAATTCATTTCTCTAATTTAATGGTTCCTGAATAAAGGTAAGGCACACAGCTATAGGTTTTAATTGAAAATTCTTTGCTTTTCTTTCTTCATTTTGTGTCTGAAACAATACAATATCAGAGCTGAAGGGATACCAAAGATCAGACTTCCTTTATTTATCCAATTGCAAATAACCTACCGTTGTCATATTTAATTTTCATTCCTTTGGGCTTTTTGTTTCCTGACAAAGTTTGAATAAAATTACTAAATATGGAGTCCACCAAGAAGACAGGTATAAATGTATGAATGAAGAAAATTATGTATGTATGGCAGAGAGAAATAGAGAATATGTATGTTTGTGTAAGTATGTGGGTTTGATGTATAGAAAGACACAGATTAAAAAAGACATATAGGAAGAAAATGTTATGTAAAAATCTCTGATGTGATTATTGAAACAAAAGAAGTAACTGTCACCTAAATAGATGAATCAGTGAATGATAAATGGATGAAACAAATGCCAAATCTGAATCAGACAGAAATCCTCACATTCTTTGTCACTTTAAGTTTTCAGGAGATAAGAAGATGTTCTCCTCAAACCACACAATACTGACAGAATTCATTCTCTCGGGACTGACAGATGACCCAGTGCTAGAGAAGATCCTGTTTGGGGTGTTCCTGGTCATTTACCTAATTACGCTGGCAGGCAACCTGTGCATGATCCTGCTGATCAGGACCAATTGCCACCTGCAAACCCCCATGTATTTCTTCCTTGGCCACCTCTCCTTTGTAGACATTTGTTATTCTTCCAATGTTACTCCAAATATGCTGCACAATTTCCTCTCAGAACAGAAGGCCATCTCCTACGCTGGATGCTTCACACAGTGTCTTCTCTTCATCGCCCTGGTGATCACTGAGTTTTACATCCTTGCTTCAATGGCATTGGATCGCTATGTAGCCATTTGCAGCCCTTTACATTACAGTTCCAGGATGTCCAAGAACATCTGTATCTGTCTGGTCATTGTCCCTTACATGTATGGGTTTCTGAGTGGGTTCTCTCAGTCACTGTTGACCTTTCACTTATCTTTCTGTGGCTCCCTTGAAATCAATCATTTCTACTGCGCTGATCCTCCTCTTATAATGCTGGCCTGCTCTGACACCCATGTCAAAAAGATGGCAATGTTTGTAGCTGCAGGCTTTAATCTCTCAAGCTCTCTATTCATCATTCTTCTGTCCTATCTTTTCATTTTTGCAGCGATCTTGAGGATCCGTTCTGCTGAAGGCAGGCACAAAGCCTTTTCTACATGTGCTTCCCACCTGACGACAGTTACTTTGTTTTATGGAACCCTTTTCTGCATGTACATAAGGCCTCCATCAGAGAAGTCTGTAGAGGAGTCCAAAATAATTGCAGTCTTTTATAGTTTTTTGAGCCCAATGCTGAACCCATTGATCTATAGCCTAAGGAACAAAGATGTAATTCTTGCCATGCAACAAATGATTAGGGGAAAATCCTTTCGTAAAGTTGCAGGTTAGGCCTGTGTTTATTTGTAATCCCTAAGTGCCTGTGGGGTAACAAACTGAAATGGAAAAACCTAGTGTAGTCATGATTTAACATTATGGGCTGTTAGTAACCACTTTAGTTTATTCTCAAAATTAACACTTTGAAGATTTAGTTTTTAAAAATAAAAGCCTTAATGTTGAAATTAAAAATGTTTTATTTGTCAGAGATTCTATGAATATAAATTGTTTGGTATCTAATAATTCTGTATGAAAATACTGTGTTTACTTACTTGGGGGTAAATTTTTAACCAACAGCCTGAGAGAAGCTCTGAAAATCCAAACCCTTTGAGTATTACTGTCCATAGAGCCATAGTGAGGTTCAAGATAGGGTGGATAATTTTATATTTTTAAAAAAATGATGCCGGGTGTGGTGGCTCACATCTGTAATTCTAGCAATTCGGGAGCCCGAGGCGGGTGGATCACCTGAGGTCAGGAGTTTGAGACCAGCCTGGCTAACATGGTGAAACCCTGTCTCTACTAAAATTACAAAATTAGCCAGGTGTGGTGGCACATATTGTAATCCCAGCTACTCGGGAGGCTGAGGCAGGAGAACAGCTTGAACCCCGGAGGAGGAGGTTGCGGTGAGTCAAGATTACGCCATTCCATTCCACTTGGGCGACAAGAGCGAAACTCCATCTCCAAAAGTTAAAAAAAGAAAAAAAAAAAGAAAAAAATAAAAAGAAAGACATTATTTCTACTTCAATGTGGTGTCTTGAACAATAGCTCTGAAACCTGTGAACTTATTGTAATCACTGTGCAAAAAATGTAAATATATGAATCACCTATATGTTAAATTTTCTGTTAGTATTCTCAAAACCCACACTGTAAACATCTTGAGAAGCTTCTTTTTAGTTCATGTGGTAATACCGGTTATGGTCCTCGATTCTGAAAAATCAACTCTCAACACCTTTTTTTTTTTTGAGTTTTCAAATGTATGGATCCATTTCTATCATCAAAATACTTCAATTGCATTCCACGTATGTTTTCCAGTGCAGTACCTCTGACTTAGGAATAATTTAGTTGCAGCCAATAGGGTCTATCAATTGATATTTGCATATGCATAAATGACTTTGTTACTGGAAAAAAGGGTCTTGATCCAGACCCCAGGAGGGGGTTCTTGGATCTACAGAGCAAAGATTTCAAGATAAGCTGCAAAGTGCAGTGAGAAGAGATAGTTTATTAAAGGCTACTGCATTACAGAGTAAGGTGTTCTCAGAAAGCAAGTGGAGGAATGCACCCTCTTTAAGTATTTTTTATATACTAGTAGGTTGTGCCTACATGTGGGTAGGCTGACAGCATGATAAAATTTATCATTATGTTGATCTAAAGAAAACGATCCTTGATATTTTAGTGTGTGCATAACTATTATCATCATGATAAAAGCATATACTCTTATGAGAATTGGGACACCTAGACTCTCGCTGCATGAGACAATGGAAATGTCCCATCCTTGAAAAAGTACATTCTTGTGCATCAGTTTTTCCATAGCCAGCTGTCCCAAGATTTATGCCACCTAATAAGCTGATAATAAAACATTCTCTTCAAGTTGAAACAGAATGCTGTTGTGGAAAAATATTTGGCCTTGTAATTATTCAGAACTGAGCCTGAATTCTAGTTTTATTACTGTTTTGTTAGCTGGGTAAACTTAGAGAAGTTCCCTCTCCATATCAGTTTATTCAAATGCAAAACCCCATTTCATGGAGTTATTGTGAATATCAAATATTATTTTTAATGTACATTTTCCTCAATTGCATTTTGAGGCAAGTATGCTGAGTTCCAGTGTGGACTCAATTCCATGAAAGTTTTTTTAACATGGGAAACATGATAGAAACAATAAGTTAAATATGTTAGTTTTTTACTTATTTAACATATGATTATTATCCCTGTCAGGCACTTTCCTCATTGGCAGTCACCAGTCTCTTCTACCTGTTTGTTTCTTCATCAGTCTCTTACTGTTTCATTGTTTCATCTATCTATTTCTAAAACATTTCATGTTTTTTTCCAGAAATTATTTGTACCTAGTATTATTTGTTTACATGTCTTAGGCATCCTATCAAAATGCAAATCCCTTTATCAAAGAAATACTTTTAAAATATTTTTATTATTTAGATTAAACAATACTGAAGTTTGTACTTAGTACATATTCTTGTGTGAACTTGATAAAGGGCAAACAGTGGAGGAAATTCAGTAGTGCTCTTGAGATGGGAAGGACAATTACCTGAATTCAGGTTTCATGAGAAGTTAAGTGTCCTCAGACTATTTTAAATTTGTTTTTCAGTTTTGTATAAAGTGTTACCCTAGTTGGATAACAGGTGATTGCTTTGAGCTCTACTGAGGTATAAAATACAGATTTTTTTTCTAACATCTTGATTCAAGATAACATAGTACAACCAATGAGTATTTCTTCCCTTGAGAATGTTCTCCACTGTGATTTCACTTCTAATTACCTCTTCTTACTCATGTGGGGATTCTCCTGAGATACGTGCTGATACCAGTGATGTGGGTATATATCTTCCAGCACTGGCCAGAATTTGACCTTTGGGGTCATGAAAAAGACACCTTTGTTTTTACAGGTAAGAAAGGAAATGTTTTTGCATATTATTTTTCAGTATCTAATAATGTCTGCATTCACTTTGTTAAATTGTGTACATTTTAGACAGCAATGTGTTTAAATAGGCAGTTTTGAGGCAAATTTGCAGAGACAATGCATTTTCCATGAAAGAAAATCTGTAGGGAGCTTACTTAGCTTCGTCTTTCACTTTTTTTATAGTCCCAGTGTTACGGAAACATCCTGGTAGAATTTCATAGTATGACTATTTCAGCAGATGTTTTCACCGTTACTAGTTTCAAGTAATATTATTTTTGTGTTTTCCATTTGCCTAATGTCTTGGTGCCTACTGTCACCAATCTCCACAAGAAAAAGGCAAATTGAAAATAATTTAGGTCTACATAGCTTAATTAATCATATAAAATTTTTCTGATGTCTAAGTAAAATAAATGCTCAAACAGACTTTTTGTTGTGACCATTAAACCTATGTGAAAGTGGTCCATTAGCTTCAGTATGTGAAGCTCACAAAATTGGGTGAGTAGATATTACGTCCTCTTGGGTTCTCTTAATTTATAAGATTCTGGGTTCTTTTCCAATGCCCTATTTTTGTCTAGAGACCTAGATTTTTACAAGCAATACTTGTACCTCAGTGAGACTTTAGTTTTCAGACTATTATTTTATTTTTTTCAACAAAATACTTGAAACATAAATCAGCTGGATTATAATCAAATCAGTCTGATCATAATCAAATAACTTGTGTCAAGGACCTTAAACAGTAAGTTGATGAATGAAATTCTCACGCCTATTTTTTTAGGCTGCACAAGTAGTCACAGAATCATGCATTATATCAAATTCATCATCATCAAAGTTACTGTCTGCATTTGAATGTTTGTTTTGAGTGTTTCTTGCCTCTCAGTACCAGTGGAAAGATTTCTCATGGGCTCTATATCTGTATATTAGTTATTATATATTAGTCTATTAGTTAGCTCTGATTGCCATTGTCTCTACAATGCTAGAATTAAAATATAGTTAATGATAACCGTCTCCACTAAAAGTGTGTGTCCAGATGACCAGTGAGATCTGAGCAAATTTGCAAAGCTCCTTAGTCAGGACTAAAACCAAGATCTTGTACTGAAGAAGTTGCTCATCACCTGAGAGTTAAAAGAAGCCCTTGTGCCTTCCTTCTTGCCAATTAGGTTAGAATTCATAGGCATTATTCTAGATTCTTGGCCCAGATTTTTTCATATTCTTTACAGTTTGGGCACTGATACCTTGGTTGGCTGGCTTTCTTCCTCCTCATGCATCTCTTACTTTTGTTAGAGTGCCTGTCACTATCATCTGTAACTCAAAGAAAACTCTAACTCAAGATCTTTATTTATTCATATATGTTTCCTGGGGCAGAATAAGGAGACAATAATATTAGATACATTGAATTTTAACATTTTGGAAACAATATCTATCATTACTCAACCAGTCAATGGAACTGAAGGAAGAGATAGACCTTCCTGGGAAAGTAAAATATTGTAGAAGGAGAGCACTGCTCCGAGAATTATATGATTCCTCTTCTGATTCTTCTGCTTCTGAGTTGTAAGCTGGAACCAGAATGTCAAATTTTCTGAGCCTGGTTACTCACCTAACTAAATTTATTTCCTCTATATTGTCCAGTGCTCCACTTCTAGCTTCCAGCACCATGTCTGGAACTTGAAAAATGCTCAATAATTATTTGCTATAAGCATGCATGCATACATAAATGCATGGTTGAAAACGTATTACAAAGTGAATTAGTATTTTTTTAACTATAAAATTTCACTTTAATAAGAGTTTAACAATTGTTGTAAGATCTCATGCAATTTAATAGAAAATATTTGTCTGATATTCTTAGATTAGGTGAAAAATAAAGTGCTACTCTTATTGATTTCCTGAGCCTGCTCAGAAGAGGTAAGTTTTATCAGCCTCTGACAAGTTCTCCATTAATGACATTTGCTCATGTCTGAATTGTCCCATGGAAAAAAAAATTAGTTGTAAATTTCATTTTATGCAATTGTTAGTATACTGAAATTGTTAATCAAAATTTGGAGACAGATTAACACATATGATATTTTAACTTAATTTGATATTTTATATATTTAAAATAATTTTTGATAAATTCAGTAAATGCGCAATGTCTATATAAATTACAAGCTACAAAATATAATGAATACACATTAAACCACTCCCTAGAATTATAATTTCTGTGCATTGTTTAAAGTAAATACACAATTTAATAATTTTCCCATTTAAATAATCTATAATCCATTAATCCAATAGTAAACACTAAAACAGTCCATCTTTCCAACTCCGATCTGAAACATCACCTTTGTTATATGTCACATCACCTATATACATATAACCATTCCTGCACTTTCTATTCTGGAACATAAAAGTGTGTTGTTGTTGTTTTTTCCAATTTCATGTCAA